AAAAAAAAAAAAAAAAAAAAAAAAAAAAAAAAAAAAAAAAAAAAAAAAAAAAAACCTAGAAACAAAGATTTGGTGAGAGAAGCTGAAGGGCCAGGGCAAGGTCATGTAGAAGCTTAGCAGAGCTTAGCTGTGTTGAGTTAGAGTTGCAAGTTAATGTGTTGCCCTAGAGCTGTTCAGAACTGGTTCTGAAAGCCTGGAAAACACGCTGTCAGCTCCATACCCCTTCACAAACCTACCCATGGCCATTTATATAAGCAATTAGTCTTTTGTGATCTGCTGGGTTTTATCAGGCTTATTCAATAAAATTTGACTGACCTTTGCAAGGAAGGCCCAGCACAGAGCAGTGGTCATGGGCATTCACAAAGGAGAGATGGATTCTGTGAGAATCAATGGTTCTTGAATGTGGGTCTTATGATGGATTAGGGCCCAAATTCTGTGGATTCTAACAGAGCCGATATAGTGCTTGGTTCCTAGTAGGTGCTCAGTAAGTGTTTGTGACATAATTCGTTTATTGAGCACCTCCTATCAATCAAGCACTGTGCTAGGCTCTGGGGCCACATAGCTAAGTTAGACAAGATGCTCCCACTTGAGGTCTAGTGGTGGCTACAGTACAATTATTAATTATAATAACAGTACTGATGATAAGAGGATGTACTCAGGAAACAGAAGCAGACTGCACTGTGAGAAGAGGCAGTAACAATACACTATTTATCCCAAAACCTTAGGAAGAAAAAGAGGGGGAGAGCAAATGGAGAGGTAAGGCTGAGAGGCTTTGCCTTAAAGATGACAGGTCAGAGCATAATGTTCCCAGTAGAGAGGACATGGGTAAAGATTCAGGAGTTAAGGCAGTGAGCAGTGGAAAGATGAGGCTATAGAGGTGATTAGAGTGGGAACTGGCCAGGATTTCCAGGAAGAACTCTTCTGGTGCAGCAGAATGTGGATGTGCAGGTGGCACCAGGGGATGATGGAGAAGGTTAAGAGTATGGAAAGGGCAGTGATTGAAATAATGGATGGCAGATCCCAGGCCAGTCAGAGAAGGTAATTATGCTGAATGAGGCTGGTAAATTGGGAGAAATCAAGAGTTCTAAGAATGCCATTAGTAGAAACAGAGAAAGGTTCCCAGTGGGACAGAAGCAGCCAGAGAGTAGAAGATGACACAGGTGGGGCAGTTTTGGTGACAAAAAGATTCTGGGCGTGACTGAGGATGTGGATAAGTGGTGTAGGTGTAGGAAGAGGTTATGGTAGTTGGACCAAGGATGTTGAAACCCGTATGATCATACAAAGGCTTGCACCAGGAGTCGAGGATCAATTAAAGTGTAGGAGAAAGTAAGCAGATGCCAGTGACAGAACTTGCTGGGGGGAAATGTAAATGTCTTAGTTGCCCTTTACCTGAAAAGGGGGAGTGACCAAACACGGGGTATGTATCTGTGAGTTTGGTTTCTCCTTCCTATGGGGTTCTTACAGGAATGAGATGGAGGACTCCAGCTACAATGGGAATGAACCAGTGCCTGTGGAGTCTAGCCTGTCCCACCAGTCCCAGCTGCCTAAAGGCCTAGCTAAGGATAAGGC